ATCGATTAAAACTATAAAAAACAGTGTTGCAGTAATTATCTTGTCAAAATAAATGGAATGGTCGATGTATAGTACATGTGTTTACGAATTGTGAACGCGATAATTGATTTTTATAGTTATTGATAAATAATACGTCGACAACTTGTTTTAAATTTATGATTGTTCCAAAAATACATTCTTAAATAAATTCTACAATTTAAAGAACAAAGAATTAAATTATTGGATTAATATGTCAAAAGTGATGAATAAGTATAAAAATTAGTAGATTTGCACACATTTCCACATAAAATGCATTTAAAATTAGTTAGCAATTTTTTTGAGCATGACACGATTTGTAATTTTATAGTTGAACAGTTTACGATAATTGACTGAGGGGAGCACAAAATGTAATACCTACAACATCTGTTAGAATGATGAAAAATGTCGCCTTCATTGTCTTTTAAAACCGTCCTAGAAAAGCAGACGATTATGCACGGTTTGTATATATTCATTTTATTCATATTATTCATAGCGTTCACAGTCAGCTGTGACAAACAATAGACAGAGGAAGTTTATACGAATAAATAAACACACATATGATGAACATGGGCAAACACACATCGCCCGTTTTGCATATCTACTCGTATAGCGGGATTGCGGGTGTTCCACAGACACCAATACATATATACCAAGTGTTCAAAATAACCCACACAAAGAAGAATTGTTAACAAACTGTATGATTTACACCGTACGACTCTGTATCGTATATCTTGTAGTGATTAACATGTCTTGGGCTGTGTTTGTGTAGGTGTATTGGCTTAACATAGATGGCAAGAAGCCGTATAAATAATTATTTACGATGTTACGTAAGTGTGAAACTAATTGCGCTTGCAGTGATGCACTCACTGAACAAACCATGTTGCAATGATGGAATAAACATAACTGTTTTCTTCTGGTTAATGAATTAGGACAATTTCCGATGATGGGAAGAGAGCAAAGGAGAGTCATATCAGTGGGAGGAGTGTTTGTAAAAAAAACGCAAAATCTCAAGTACTACTTTCAAATCTCCCAGAAGTAATCAAAAATATTGGATTTTTTTTCAGGTAATCACTTAATAAATTAATTTCTATTTTTAGTCCATGTGTGTTATAATTTTATTTCCGTCTAATTGACATCTTTAACTACAAGCTGACAGTTGAAACTAAAAAAATATTGGGCATTCTTCCTCAGTAACATGTTTCTCTCTTCTATGATAGGTACATGCGGTGCGCTAATCCCACAGAAAATAATTATATAGTATTAGGTTGGGTACATTTGACATAGAAGTTCGAAAGACGCTAGTAAAACAACTAACATGAGACGCACCTTGATTGAGGTGAGATTAAAAGAGCTTTAAAAAATGATACACAAAGAACATTTATGTAAAAGTCTGTAGGTACTTTACAGGCAAAATAAAGGCTATTCACTTAGGAATCAACAGGTCGGATGATAATTTTTCTACACTGTCCAATGCATCAAATTTAATTGATAGATATTTATAGAAATTCGAAGAATTGAACATAATAAAACAAATATTTGAATTAAAAATGGAAACTATTTTAAATTTGTAGTGATTATCTATCACCATTGACCTTGCCAGCATTGATTAACTGCTTTCCCACACGAAAATGCAGCACGTAGCGCATGCAAATGTATGTGAGTTTTCCAAACGACACGACTAAATGTCGAAAGTCGATTATTCCCCGTCAATAATCCAATTCGATGGTGGCATGACATGCACACCTCATTTACGTACAAATGCCAATATCTAATACTAATAAATAACGTTTTTTACGCATTACAGATAATTACAGTTTTTTTTTATATGGGTAGAAAAAAAAAATGCTGTGAATAAGGCATTAGAAAGTGTTCAAAATTTTGCAAACTTTCCAATAATCCATGTAGATATAAGTAGAAGGTTATAAAAAAAAAGGAAAAAGAATAGTGAAAAGGTTAAACGTCCACGTGCAACGATTGATTTTCCAAAGTGTCATGGACACTACCATCGAAAAACATTTTTATTTCCATTTTTACGGGAAAAACAGTTTAATATCTATAAATTTTCCACATTTACGTTGGTATAGCAGGCGATTCTGATATTATGACACATGATGAAAAAGATTGTTTGTGGTTGTGATGTGTTATAAGGTTGTTTCTCATTTTTTCCCCCTCAAACTGGGTGAAAAGTTAGCATCAAACGTCATTTCTCACCCGGTCCTATCAACCGAAGCTCCAAACTTGGCCCAATTCGAGCGGACCGCAGGCAAAAGTTTTGGCAAAATTGGCCCAAATCCATTTTTCATTTTTCATCCGACATTCAGACCTCGACCTGACAAGATATCTCACTTTCCACACGCGCTACACACAACCCCAACGGACATTTGTCTTGTTTTTCCAATTATTTGCGTCAATTTTTCAAAAAAACATCCACAAAATCATTCTAAACAGTTTCATTGAATTTTATTGCGAGCATTCATTATTGCTGGCCCTGACCTGACACAATAATAGCTTGATCATCACCACGAGACAGCGGGTAATAGCAAAGTGTGCGCACAATAACGATCGTAATTAAATGATAATGGCAAACTCCCAATTGTGCGCGATTCTTAATTTTGAGCGAGCGCAAGCTTTCCGAACACGCAGCTACTATTACACGCACGGAATGTTCAGACTTGATACAAACAGCGAAATTGAATAAATTAGTGAAGGTGGTTTACATTTTTTTGCTAATACGGTATAATGTTATAGGCATGTCTAACAAACATAAAAAAAGCGCAACATAATTAAACATTAACGACCTGTATACAAACCTGTACATAAAACAAATGAATAATTTAATCTCTTTCTAACTGTCCATCTAATTCCCCGAAATGTCATTCATCCTCTACCTTCATCTCTACCTGGCTTGCTCTCCAGGGCGTCTGCTTTAACACCAATTGATTGGTTGTAAATCGCAAAATTTCCAACACATGGTATATGAATTATTTGAGCGACGGTAGGCATGGCAACGCACGAGTGGTTCTGCTTTTCTGTGTTCTCTTCAGCACAATTTTCCGTACGTACATTCGCGGCATGCAGCAGACAGATTCCGAGCGAGTGTTTTGCGCGGCGTACTTCTGTTTCGCTCCGCTTCAGCTCTGACCGGCCGAAACAATCGATTACGGTGTTTCGAGAACGCGACGCGTGCAAACGCAAAACACGGCACAGGTAATAACCAGCGCCGAGTGCCGCCATTCAGCAAAACGAAACAGACACAACACAACCACCAAACATATACGTCTCCGATACGGCTTGGGTATTGGGTTTTTCATTGAAATGATTGAACCTAAGTAAACTTTGCCGCAAACAAGTTGCCGGTTGATGGTGGGTAGAGTTAAATGTGAAAGAAAACCTTAAAAGTACTATACCTGAGAGTAATAATAAACTTTTAGGGTTTTCAGAGAATTGTCAACATGTTATAACACGTTTGCTATTGAAGTTGTGGTAAAAATCTTGCCAACTTTTATGTAACTAAAAGTTTTCCTTGTTAAAATCTACTTTTATACTTTATACTCATCATTAAAACTTTATATCAAAATATATTTTAAATTTAAAAAAAATCAAAGTGTATGCAACCGAAATAACATAAAAACAAAACACTATCAATGTTGAAACAGCTGCAAGTCATCTCGTTAAATTTGATGTGTTTCCCACTTTAGCTACGTTTATATTCACATTTAAAAACTTCCTCAATTCATTTTTACAACTTGATAAAAGTTTATTCCTCAATTTTGGTAAAAAAGGCGTTTGGTGCGTATATTTAAAATTCTTTCAACTCACCGTTTTACCATATCTGAAGCCGTGTTTGACAACGTTTTACAAGCCTATAAGCAACCACCCTCGCCGCCGAAGTGCTCCAACACCCGCGCACAAACCACCCTCACTGGTGCACTCACGCACTAAACACCAGCAGATCACGCGCACACACCCTCTCACACAGTGCGACAATAAGGGTTTGAACGATATCGGATTCTTTGTTTTCGTTCGCTTTGTCTTGAATCGTCGACGAGACAAACACAACTTTTCCCTCTTCTCTCAGTCGCGATCAGACGCGCTGTGCGATTACGCCGTTTATTAATAAATTACGTCTTGCTCGGATCGTGCGGGGCGCACAAGCACGACGTCGGTGTTATTCACCGATGATGATAACTCTTGTTGACGCTGCGACGGCATTGTTATTGTCGAATGTACTCTCCCACACAGTGGACGAGAAAAAACGCATTCAGGACTAGTTGTTGCTAGTGTGATAAAAGCGTTCGAAACGAACTCGCACTCCAAGTCAAGTTACACTCGAGTTTCGCTGCGAATGTTTTTGTTGTTATGTTATCGTATGACGTCTGTCGACTGCTCACACCACATACACTTCTCGTAGTTGCAGTTGGAGCAAATCCACACTAACCACAATACGTGCTGGTTGGGCTTCTGGTTCAGTTTCGTGTTTCGTGGACGCGGTTTCCGGAAACGTGCAGAGCGCCAATCCAACTTGGCGGCACAATGGCGCCTCGCTTACTGCCTGCAGGTGCGAGCGCGGAGATCACCGATCAGCCATGCCATGCCATTCGACGCGCACTCTAATGTCACTAGATACCCTCGTGTGCAGTGTGTTGAATAGTTTCGCGTCGTCTTCAAGGGTTGTATACTGCTGCTTCGATAGAGTTTACAGCGCCGCGGACCGCACGGTAATGTTTCGCCTAGTGATGTCTCGGTGCGGGTATGCACTGTGGCTGGTGAAACGCGGGGAGACGGCCTCTTTGTTTGTGTGGATGTTTTCGCTCAGTGCGACGCGACTATGACTACGAGACTCAACGAACACAAAATCGATTTTTACCGTTTCATACACGACTGTATGCAACCAACAATACACAAAAACTAAATACATGCTTTTTTCCACACACAACAAATTCATTTCGACATATTACCACATCAAATATTTTAAAACTTACCTTTTATTGCCGACCATAATGTGAAATTGACAACTCCACTCGATTTCTAGATCCGACTGACGATGTAGACTTCTTTGACTAACCCTGATCACTTTACACCCTGTTGAAATTTTATCACTACCCAACCTGCGACGCCTGGTTCTAGGAAACTTTAGGAAGTCCATAATAACAGAAATATCGCAATCGAATACTTAAAATAACCAAAGGAAACCGACACGTTTATGCAACGAACTTTACTACAACTTTTCGTGGAATACATCTTGAATATATACACTTTGGAGAACACTCTCTGCACATATATTTCAACGCGTTTGAGACATGCTCAAATTTGGATTTGAACAAACACAACAGAAAATCAAGCGCGGACTGAACAGTCTACGTTCATGTCCTCTGCTTAAATTCTTATTGGAAAAGGGCAGCCACTAGTGGTACAAGTTCAAGGAAACGAAAACTCTGCAAGATTTGTACATGTTTGAACTTGTTGCGTGTGATAAAGCGTGCCAACCAGCACTACTAGATTTGGAAGGGATGGGAGTGGGAGTACTCCGTTTGGGCATTATAAAGATTGAGAATCTTGCAAGAAGATGACTCATTTCTAAGAATTGGTGAAGTATTTTATGCTTTTCTTTGTTTTTTTGTTGGCGACTGCAAAGGGTCTTCGATTATTGCATGTTTTTGGTTGTTTGGCATTTCCGGTGTGTCCTCTTCGTCATTATCATCATCATCATCAGCATCTTCAGCTTCATCAAGTTGATCTCCTTGGGCAGAGGCATTCTTGATAGGCGTCTTCGTATTTTCTGAGAGAAACAAATTAATAACAAATTTTATATTAAACTTTTAGTGAATTTGGCCATGCTGCGCCATCTATCAAAATGTTATCGCACCATCTATAAAGTAAATCTGATTCTTCAAGGTAAAATAGCAATTTACGATCTTCGCAGCAAAATAATCACAATTATTTTTTAATATAATATGGAATATTAATAGATAAAGAATATTGTGTTTATTGTAAACTAACCTGTATTCGCCGCGTTTTCGTGTTCCACAATGTCTGTCAGCGCTTGATTCACCTCCGCTTGTAGTTTTTTAATAATATCACCATAGCCAGTTAGTTTACCGTCGGAAAATTTGACGATATGCTTAAATTCCTTAACATTTTCCTCGTTTTTTCTTATTGTGCAAGTAGCGGCACACTGCATGTTGAAGTATACTTTGTTTTGATTGATGGTTTACAGCAGACATTCAAAAGTCATAGTTTTTGACGGTAGATGGCGCCGTTAGTCTATCAACTTAATAAATTGCCAATTGTATAAATTCCAAAAGTACAAGTTGTATTTACAGGAAAATAACGGAATGGTAGGAAAATTTCAATTGTTTATTATTTAAATTGATTTGTATTGTATTTATTGAATTATCAACAGACAAAAATACTTTGAAAACTCTTTAAAATCTTTAAAACTTGATGATTGACTCGGTGTGATTCTAAATTTTCCGCTTCCACAATCAAATTGCACATTAATGTGATAATATGAATTACTTTAGTAATTTTAGTATACATTTGTATTGAAGAGTGGTTATTAATATTATTAATACTCGTCTTTAACTATGATATCACATTCAATGGAATTGTAAACAATATAAATCGTCACCATTTGTGTTTTTTTGTTGCACAGATAGTACAAGTGTTTATTCACGTTCCGTTGTTATCCTTTTTTAGACTTGCTTGTTTCTTGTGGCAAAATGTCAGATTTCATAATTAATGCACAGCCAGTTTGAAGCGTTGAGTGATTATGTACGCAGAGTCCTCGTAGTCAACTTTTCTGTAAAATTAAGTAAAAACTAATTAAAAGTTATATTTATCGAAGCTGAAACAATTTTGCATCTAGTTTTCCGGAAGCACTTAAAATTACAGGTTACGTTATTTCAATGCATGTTTACCTTTTTTGTTTTTCCTTACAAAAAAGTATCGCCAGAGTAATCCGCATTTGAGTTTTCTCTCGAGAGACGGATGTGATTGAAATGGCGCCGGTTTCCGGTGGAAGAAGGCGGACGCGTGCGGTAGTACGACGCGTCCCGGAAGCCAAAAGCGTCGCCATTGTTTCGCGCGGACTCATTGCACTCGCTTCCTGCCCTGATGTGAACGCTTTTTGCACTCCCAGCTCGTTCAGGTCGTTCATCGGCGGCGAAACGCGTCTGCTTACAACCGCCGCTGGCGCTCATCATCGACGCCGACCGCTGGGTGCCGTTCGCGAAGCGGAATGACTTCCGTTCGCCTGGATCACCGAGCATTGCGATCCCCGTGTTGTTCTGTGAATTCGTCTGCAAACACAATCAAAGAATGTGCGAATTGACATGATGGAAAATGAACAAACTCTTCACACACACTCAAAAATCCATTAAAAACTTTGTTAAAATAAAAAACAATTTATTTAATTATTGTAACTAACGCGTCTAATCTATAAAATTAAAATTAATTAAAGGTTATGTAGAAGAACGGTGGTTATATGTCTAGTAGGATAAAATAGTTCGCAATATCGCCACCAGTTTGATTCATTGGATGCCTATAGTAGGTTATGTCGTGTTATTCTAGGTTCTTGAGCGATATCTCCAGCGTAGGCAGTCGTCGCTCAGCATCGTTGTTCGTCTGATGGCGGTGATTGTTGTTGAGGGTGGTGAATGTGTTAGGGCCGACGGTGGCGACGAGCATGCCGCTCTGTCTGGAATTAACCGTGTGCAAGCGCGGCCTCACCTGCGTGCCGGCGCGTCGCGCGCGTATGTTGAATGCCCCGTAGACGATCGGATTCATGCACGAATTGGTACACGCGAAGAGGAACAATCCGCGCTGAATGCGTTGATCTACGTGCATCGCCGTGTCTCGATCGTACCAATACCTGTAATTGCATAAGCATCTAATTACTTGATTTGGTTTGTTTAGTGAAAATTAACAGCTGGTAATGAATGTACTATGCGTTTAATTAAAATTTGATGATGTTTATGCTCTGATTAACATTAATTAATATTATTATCTATGAGTATATCATTCATTATCAGAAAATAATGCTTGCATAGAAAATAAATTAATATAATGGGTTGATGAAAATTGTTTTGTGATAAATAATTAAATTGCAGCTTTTCCACTTTGAGCGATGACTGAAAAAGTTGTCATTGCGCTTTAACATTGTTAAAAGCGTCATAAAATATTAATTACTTTCTCTGTGTCCCCGTTGGAGTGCGTCAGCGTTTTTGCAATTGTAAACAGCATTAGCATTAAAATTAACGCTGTTTACATTTTTGTGCACTTTCCGCTATTTATATGAACTAAGTATTTGTCATAAAAAGAATTAAATATAGAATATAAAAAAAAAACGTATAACAAATTAATTTGAAATAAATTTAATAGTGACATATTCAAATTAATTACAATTATTAATAATTATAATAATTAATTATTATCGTTATAAAAAATAGTGGAATCTATACACGAGAAATATATTAAACAACCGATTATTTCGATTGAAAATTATTTTTTCGTAATTTTGATGTTAAATTCATTATTCTTTTTAATTCTAATTAATTTTGTGAAGAATAAAAAGAAAATTGCGTTTTATGTAATATATAAAAACTATATCACAATGAATTGTATGTAGTTTTTTCTGTATTTTTTTCTAGCAAAGAAAATGGCATTAAAATATTGTTTGTGTCATATTCCGCTGCTCATATTTCGCGATGTGCGTGATGTGATAGATTGATTCACGAGTCGAATTCGCATCCTTAAAGGTCTGCGATAATCATTTACTATCGCACATCACATCACATTCACACATCAAGTTCACAGCCATGATACAAGGTCCAACAAACAAAATAAAGACAAAAATGACCAAAATATAAACGTGATTTTAACCAGAAAACTTTTTGCATTGTTGAGTTGATCCTTTATAAATTAAAAGTAGAAATATTTGTTTTTTTATAATTTATTAGTTAATTGGTTAATTAAATTTGTTTGCTTGTATTTCTTTGTCCTGTGCTTGCGCAATAAGACAGAAATGATGAATTTCATTGTTGTTTGTTCATTCATATTTGGTTATTATGTTGTTTTCGCTTGTTTCTCAATCCTATCTGAAGGTTCTCGTCGCGTTATGTATAGGCAAATCCGAATGCCGTAAACACTTCGGTTTCGATTTTCGGCTCGGATTACTTCATTACTCTTGCTATAATTGGCCTCCAGCAACTCTCCTAATATTTCACCCATTGCAACTTTAATCACTGCAGAGGCAATAAAAATGCCATTGCAATTAATTACATTAACCGGGAAGCATTTTAAAATTAAATAATTTGAAAGAGAAATGTATCAAAGTAATATATTCTTTGGAAATTGTATTTTGGAAGTAACAAAGTATATCGGCAATGGTTAAGCTGATTTGCAAAAACTGGAATTTAGAAATGTGTTGGGATTCAATGAATGACAAAGTATATGAATATTTAAATAACGTTTCTATAAATTATTACATTTTTGTTATGAAGTGTATCAAATTATTATGTTAATAATTTGTCTTGGCAGCAATATGTTGAAGAACTGAATAAGCATTTTTTAGAAAAACCCAATTAAAAATATTGAGAACAAATAGGTGTTTCGAAACGGCACTAGCAATACTCTGAAAAAAGCGTTTGTTTTGTCAATTTTTTTGCCAATTTACACCATACTTTAAGCTTTACGGCATATAGATATATACTATACAATAAAGCATTTTTCCACTCTAATGAAGACCAAAATTTTTTTTTTTTTGGAAAATATTGTTCCGATGGAGGTAGCAAGAAAAATATTTAATTCCTTAACAAAGACAAACTAAACTTTCAAATTTAGATTATCGATGTATGAATTTGTGCAATTTTAAACACCTCTGCTCTTTTTAGTACGGGTTGATTCAATACTTTTTCAGTCAAATTAATTAATCTGTTTACATTAAAACTGCAATAACTACGAAAATGTTAAATACACAACATTGGCAAATATACTGAATTCCAGCGAAATTAATCGGATCGGCGTTACTGGCTTCACTTGCATAAAAAACTTGCAAATTGCGAGAATACAAGGCAAATAGAACTTTTAATCAAGTGCCGCCAGAATTATTTTTAAGCCTGTACATAAAACCACAAAGTTACTATAAAACAATTTGAAATAATTTAAAAACTAAACACACTGTATATTCTTAAGTATTTCTAATCACACCATTTATTTATAAGCTGATGATGAAATATTTGAATTGCAAAATTCCGATAAGGTACATACCACCATGGACATTAATTATGTGTACATTAATTAATGATGTGTCATTATATGAAATATTAAGCGTGTTCAACTAATTTAACCCAACATAATTCAACGCAAAGCATTTAGAGGCATAAACCACTAAAGAGAATTTTATAATATTATAAACCTTTTTTAAAAAATATATTAAAAATTTGCCGAAACATTTAAAATTATATAAATTCATAAACGTTCCGTACAAGTTCAATCCTCACACGGCAAACATCCAAAATTAAAAGTAAAGCCACTTACCACAGCATCATCACATAATATGGCGTCCAACACACAAAGAACACCAACACAATGATAATGGTCATCTTCAGCGTGCGAATTTTGGCACGACCGAGAAAACCCAGACTCGATCTACGTATTCTGTCAGCTGTCAAAAACAAACACGACATAATTGGAGTAATGTTGGGTTAAGCTTTAGGTTATGTTTGCGTACCTCCCATATTTGTGCGCGTCCTTTTGTAGATTTCGATCAAAATGGACGCGTAGCTGAATATGATCACTACCAATGGGAATGTGTACATCATCACCATGCCGAAGACAGAGTAGAGCACTTCGTGTGTGTACGACGGCAATACATTATAGGTTATGCACTGTTCATACCACGTGATGTTTGGGTGAGCTTCCACGTGAAATACCAACATCTAAGAGGAAAATTTAAATTATGCAACACAGATTACACCAATTTTTGTTTTGTGTATATTGCAGGTTGTGAGATTAACAAAAGTGTTTTTAAATTCGAAGCTGTGTTTAAAACGCGATTGTGATATTGATTGATAGGTTCGAATTGAAATCTAATTGGGTTGCTAAGCTCGAATGAAGCTTTCCAGCGGCACGATTTAGTTTGTATATGTTCGTGTCAACAATATGCGTGATACAAGCAATTTACAAGCCCCGATTGGGCTGTTATAACACATTCTTTGGTTGGGACTCTGGAGGGTGCTCAAATATTAAATTCCGTGTGCCGAAAACGTGGAGGCAAACAAGATGAAACTGCCAACTCAAATAAAAACCGTCCGGCTGGGGATCAAGTCAAAATCCTCTCGTTAAAAAGAATGGAGCGAGCTGATATTAAAATATTTACTCATGTACACATCGCGTGTAAATATTTCCAGCCAACTTTTCACTTTCACATTTAAAATTTTTCGAAAAATTTGCTTATGTAATAAACATGTTTAGATAGTGGTGCAAACACAAAAGTTTGGTTAACGGAAGTGTGATTGTTGAGATTCCATAATGCTTGCATTAATTAAGCGCAGGAAACATTTATGTTGTAGAATCCTTGATTCGTTCTTGCTGCTGACAGTTTAATAACACTCTGAGTGCGAAACAAGCAAACAATTTTCATTCACATGTCAAAACATTACACAACTAATCATTACCCTATTAAAGTTTCGTGAATTTAATATAACACAATGAAAAACAGTTCGGGTTTTATTATAAAAAGTTTGCAGTAGTTTTAAGTATTAATAAAATATTTTTTCATGCATTCTCTTTACGTATTATTATAACTTGTGGAAAACTTTTAGCAAGGTAAATATTTCCGTAGGGCAGTTTGCTAACTTTAAATTTATTATTAAAAGAAAGCGTGTTTATTCTCAAAAGAATGTTAAAAACATTTGTTATTTATCTTCAAGCGTTTACTATGTGAATTTTTGTTTTCGAAAAATTTGTGATAAAATATTATAATTTTTTTAAATTCTGAGTAAATTTAGATAAATATGTTTTATAATAAATTTAATAAAGAAAGTTATTGGGTGTATCTATAATATAAAAATGAATCGCAAAATATGTTGGTAAGCGCATAATTCAACAACGCTTAGACCAATTTGGCCAATTCCCTTTTTAAAATGTTCGTTAAAGTCCAAGGATAGTTTTTACGGCGAGAAAAATTCGAATAATTTCTGAGAAAACCCTAGAGACAGCCCTTTTCTATAGGATAAAAGGTGGCATTGAGAGTCAATAATAGTTATAGTTAAATTGTTGAATCTGAGATGGCGCGTTGATGTGCAGTATCAGTTATTCTTTATATAATTAATTTTCTTAAAATAAAATTGCGGATCTTATTGATAGAATTGACACATACTAGGTCTAGAACAAGAGAGTAAAAACGAATTACATTTTTATTAAACCCTACCGGGACGAAGTTGCGGGGAAAAGCTAGTATTGTACATTTCTGTCAAACCTGAGTATTTATCGAAAATCTGTGTATAAATGTGTTTATTTAGCAATTAATTGAAAAGTGCAGTACTCACTTGTGGCACACTGCAAATAGTGGCGCCCATCCAAGCCGCCGACAGCATAAATTTGCCCCGCTTGTCCAACTCGGTCAAGTGCAGTGGTTTTAGCACTGCGTAATATCTGAAACAATAAACAAACAAAAACATTCAATTTATTACCTAAAACTTTCATCATGTAAAAATTCCACAATTACATTCACAGATAAATAAACATTTTAAAACTTTTAATGGATTTAAATATAGATAATTTAAAATTTATGCATGTTATATGCACATTGCGTAGTTAAGTTAGTACTGAATAATACTTGAATTTAACTAACGTGACAGGCAGCTTTGAACAAACACGTTTAAGAAATTGCGTAGATTCGCGCTAAAAAGCGAGCACATTAACTAAATGATCTGCGCTCTCAAAATATTGAAAATGTCTGAGTCCACACGCGTACAAGAATAGGCTCTGCAAGGCGTTGCCGGATTCAAAGCAGATGTTAAGTGCCTCGCAGGCGAAGTGTGCTTAAAAGCTTCCTTTCGGTTACACTTTTGGCCGGGAACACGTTTCATCTACGCTCCAATCAATAAATGCTAAATTGTTGATTTCAATATTTAATTCAATTGAATATTCTACTTATTACGTTACGTCTTCTTACACTTCAACACCTTTGAAGTGATCAAAGATAAATTGAGATGAATATCCAAGAAAGGCGTTAAAAATATTTTTTGAGTTGTCTACGGATTTCACGTAATTAAATTTAACCAAAATTACAATTTATTTAACTTATTCGAGAATGTATATATAAAGTAAATTTAAATAATATTTCACGCACAATACAAATCCATGAAAATACATTTCTATATGCAAAGCAAAACGTACTCAACATACTCATGCATTAATGGATTCTGAAGTGAAGGAAAAAGCTTTTACACTGTTTTCGCACGATTTTCAGCTGCAATTGTGAATTTAATATTTATATCAGCAGAAGAATACAACTGTCAAATTTAATAAACATAAAAACGTCAAAATTTTTCAATAAAATTCCAGTTATTTATATTTTTTACATTTTTGCCCGGCACCTTCACCAAATGCGATTTTATAAATCTCTCGCATTATAAATATTATAAAATATTTAAAATATTAATATCAATATAATATTTTTTATGAATAAATGTGCACCTTTATTTTTAGTTTAGCAAAACGTGATTGCAAGTAAATCACGGATGAATTATTGGCGTATTGCTGTTTGTCGAGTCTGTTAGACGTCAGTAAAGTCAGGCCAGTGACGACACCGCTGTGATTGATGCTTTTTGCGAGGGCAGCAGTGCGCAAATTGCCGGTTTATAGCTGGTGAGTTTAATCAAGCGTGAAAATTCACCGATTCATCAATTCGACAAGGTATACATTTCCTAATTTATCAACACGTATCAATAAACCTATTAATCGATACAATGAAAACAATAATTAATAATTGAAAACCCAAAAAATAAACTGCATTTTATATAAAACATTTAAATATTACTGTTATTCAGTAAATAATTGCCAATTATTTTCGAGTTGTGATTATGAAAGACATCGCATATATTTTTTTCGCAATATATTGTTTTTTTACATTTGGGATTTGATTTTTTTGCTTCTAGTGCGACGCTTACTGCTCGACTTCTACCGCCAATGTGATTCGATGAGGCAAAGCAAACATTTGCATTTTAATTATGCACGACAACAAAGCAGCGCGTCACGAAGTAAAACCAAACAGACAAATACAAACACAGTTGTTGAATACTACTCTGTTAACAGTGTATTTTCAATCACTAACTAAAAATTTAAGTATCTTATGTAACCCAAAATGTAGGTAGTACTTATAATAATAGTTTGAATTCCACGTAAATTCTATGTCTTTATATATAATGTTTTGTGAAAGTCAAATATTTAGACGATTTAACGTACAAAACAAAAGCCTTATAACTTTCGTCTTGAGAGTTTCGTGAAACGCTTAAGTTATTTAAGCAATGCGTGCCTAAAACATTGTGGAGTCGTAGATTCGTAGCAGAAAAGTGCTTTCGGTGCGGCGCGCAAGACTTGATTTTTCTCCACGTCACGTCCCGCGGCTCCTGGCTCATGGCATGTAAATCGCCCCCAAATTTGCATAACAATTACGCGCCGAGGACGATGAAGATACGCAACGTGACGCAAAACACATTGATTTTAATCTGCGCGTTGTTACATTAGGCGAAAATTCAAAGCCATGGAAAACAACATGGAAAACAGACATTGCAAGACTACTAATAGAAAATTAATTTCATATTCCAACGAAAATTGCATCAAAAAATCTACAAATCAAATTTATAAAACAGGATTAATCAAATTTTATATAGATATGTATTGATATTGGAAAGTTTAAATTATATCGATCGTAACTAGAAAAGTTTTAATGATAAAAGTTGTATAATAAGTATAATTATCACTTTTTAGTTATGTTGGTTGTAAGAAGAGCATCATAAAAGCTGCAGATAATATTTACGTTTACAAAGTTAAAATCTTGCAGCGTCTAGGAATTATTTTGCTTGCACGCGAAAGTTGTGATAACAAGAGGCGAAAGTTTAATAATAGAGCGGGGAAAAGCGTTCAAGTTATCAACTTCCGGCAGGATATTATAAGACGTTTACTGCTGGTATTAATTTAGGTCAAAATATATATTACTTTAAAATATATCTATATTGATAAAAATGTTTAAGGATGAGAATTTCGTCGTCTGAAGGTGTTCTCTAAATCCTTCAAAGGAATATTTTTAGGGACTCATTTATTTATGGAATATTCGTGTAAAAATTAAAATGCAATTAAGAGCCGTTTTGTTGTAAGGAATATAATATATTTTATAGATGTTTTTCAGTATAAATTTATTTTTGGGCCTTTTATTTGAATTTCACTGGATTAAGAATATTTAAAAATATGTTTGGAGACAAAAAAGTTTTCACACTTTTCTCTTTTACTTTTTATCTGCTCTTTCTGCTTCTTTGAGTGCAATGTAATGTAATTAATACGTTTGTCTTAATAAATATGACGCAATGACTCAATTAAATTATAGTTTTAAAATATAGCGCCCATTAACACGGGTTAGTATTTATATTACGACTAACTTTTACCCGGAAGTTTGTCTGTGATTTTTTTCTTTTATTTTTATAAAAAGTCGAATAACTAAATACATTTTTGGTTCTTGGAATTATAATGTGCCTCTATATAATATATAATTTTTATAATAAAGCTAACTTTATTCATCTCTTATTTTGCTTCCCTCAAATTAGATTTTAACATTATAATGGCTTTTTTCTTGGTGAATAATATCTATGCCCCAATATTTGCCAAAGTGGTTTATGCGTGAAAGCGGTACAAATAAGCATTATTTTATTAGTTAGATTTTATTGGGTAAAACATTGAACTTACCTATCCATGCTGATGCAGACTAGAATAAAGCTGGACAGGTATAAGCCGAACGTCCGAAAAAACGCCATAATCCTACACATGGCATCACCAGCTTTCCAGGACACCGTGTATGCCCATCCAATCTCCAATGGCATCATCAGGAATGTCACCTGTTATCAAGAAACAATAATTATAGTTAAAAATAGTTTAATTTTAGTATAATTTTATTATTAAGTAAAATCTATTTTGCGTGTTGCTAATGACTCTAAATTTAACTTATCGTACAACCCCTTGGAAATAAGAACGCTACATGAAAATTAATTAATACTAGTCGGCTCATTCAGTACTTAAAACGCAAGGGACCTAAAGATAGATACAAAAATACAATGCCGATAATCGCGTGCTGCACGTGTTATTTTCACCTTCATTGCAGTGAAGTCCCAAGGGTTCTGTGTGAATCCTCACTACTTTCTTAAAAATACTTTTTATATCTTACCACATGCTTTACATTTCGATGTCTCACTTTTTTTAAAATCCTACTTAACTTTTATTTTTAACTATATTATAACTTAATATAATTTTTAATATGTTCTAGAGCAGTGGTTCCTAACCTGGGGGTAATTACCCCCGCAGGGGTAAAACGGAGATTCTAAGGGGGTAACACGGGATGGCATGAAATAGTATTAAAAGGGGATATATTAAATGCACTTTAGTTAAAATACAATCCACTTGAACAGCCGCACTTAAGTTTTCATACTTTGCACTAAGAAATTCATATTATGCACTATAGATTGTATAACTTATATTTTAATACAATGCACTTATATATTCAGGTTTAAGCTTAAATTTGCTTTGAATCAACTTTTTAAATTGAAACTTTATAATTTGTGGTGGTTAGGTAGGGTACCTTGTTTGGTATTAATTGTGGGGCGGTCGGGGGGTTGGGGTGGTCGGGGGGTTGGGGGTGATGGTTAGGTAGTCTACCTTGTTTGGTATTATTTGTGGGGCGGTCGGGGGTAGTGGTGAGGGGGTGGTCGGGGAGTTGGGGGTGGTCGGGGAGTTGGGGGGGGTGGTAAGGTAAGCTACCTTGTTTGGTATTATTTGTGGGGCGGTCGGGGGGTGGGGTGGTGGTTAGGTAGGCTACCTTGTTTGGTATTATTTGTGGGGTGGTTGGGGGTTGGGGGGAGGAGGTGGTTGGCGGTTGGGGGTTGGGGGTGGTGGTTAGGTAGGCTACCTTGTTTGGTATTATTTGAGGGGCGGTGGGGTGGGGGGGGGGGTGATAGAAGGGGCCGGCTAAGAGTACGGCACGTACTTAATACTGCAAGTTTTATAAGTGCAAAGTATTAATTTCATAGTGGAAAGCATTTTATTTAAGTGGAATTCATTTTTCAAAGTGCAAATATTTATTTTTAAGTTCAGTTCTGTATTTTTAAGTGCAAACATTAATTATAAGTGCATTTAATGAATTGACAAGTTAAAAATCGAAAAAATAAAGTTCGTTTAATTACATGCCAAAAGGGGATATATTAAATGCACTTTAGTTAAAATACAATCCACTTGAACAGCCGCACTTAAGTTTTCATACTTTGCACTAAGAAATTCATATTATGCACTATAGATTGTATAACTTATATTTTAATACAATGCACTTATATATTCAGGTTTAAGCTTAAATTTGCTTTGAATCAACTTTTTAAATTGAAACTTTATAATTTGTGGTGGTTAGGTAGGGTACCTTGTTTGGTATTAATTGTGGGGCGGTCGGGGGGTTGGGGTGGTCGGGGGTTGGGGGTGATGGTTAGGTAGTCTACCTTGTTTGGTATTATTTGTGGGGCGGTCGGGGGTAGTGGTGAGGGGGTGGTCGGGGAGTTGGGGGTGGTCGGGGAGTTGGGGGGTGGTGGTAAGGTAAGCTACCTTGTTTGGTATTATTTGTGGGGCGGTCGGGGGTTGGGGTGGTGGTTAGGTAGGCTACCTTGTTTGGTATTATTTGTGGGGTGGTTGGGGGTTGGGGGGAGGAGGTGGTTGGCGGTTGGGGGTTGGGGGTGGTGGTTAGGTATTAAACTATTACGTATATATACGTATTACGTATTAAAATAGCAATAAACAAAATAATAGTATGGTAAACGGTAGCACGGCGCTATTAAATATTATATAAATTTTTATATTACTTTACTAGTTACGTAATGGTACAATTTCTTACATAATAAACATATTTTCGTTCAAATTTATGTGGTTTAAATTAGCTAGGGGTAAACTCAATTCCCATACTTGTTCACAGGGGTAGTGACCTTGAAAAGGTTAGGAACCACTGTTCTAGAGTCTAGACATATTTCTTGATGCGTTTTCCGATTGGTAATTCGAGCATCATACGAAGTCATTCCCAGGACAAATATAAAAACTTAATAAAGTTCATAGAATCACTCAATATAAACGAATGATTACTTTTATCCCAATCCAAAAACAACTTTTGAGATGTTTATAAGTTTAACAAATATCTGTTCTGGAGGTGAAGTGGAATTGCATGTCACGTGACATTTACAAGTTGGTGATATCTGAAATTGCAACGGACGTTGCTCGCCTGAAATTCGTTTCCTTTCGCCGAACACTGATTTCCTTCGTTACATTGCCCACACAGCTGGTGACGGTTGTGCAAATCTGTGCCGGGGCACGTTTGATTAAGTTCGCGTGCGACGTCTGTTCATTCACAGATTCGCACATTTGCAATTTGCTTCAACTCCCGTCTGGCTCGTTTGCGCACATTATGCTAACAAAGTTACCGACCGACCAGGCTTATTGTACATTTATAGGTTATACTCCAGCATCAGATGTCTGATCAGGATGTTGCTAATTCCGCCTTAATTAACATCGTGATCGAGTAAGCAAACGAAAAAAACACGCGGGCGTGCAAAAACACACAATGTAATTTCATGAATTAACACGTGGGTGTACACACAAAGCGTACATTTTAATTATTCACACACTCTGCCTCCAGGCGATCAATTTTAGTATGCAAGGGTTGTAGGTAATAATTAATTAATCAAACAATTCATTCACTAAAAAACTTAAGGAATAAATTTTAATACATATTTTAGTACCTATCTAGAATCTGGACAGTAGTAAAATAACCTCCAAATTGATTTGAAAATATTAGGCAATCAAATATACTTCTAGAAGTCTAGTCTTAAAACGCTTTTCTTGTTTCTAGCAACAAGTGGATACATCAAGTTGAGTTATTGTTATTGTTATCACGCAGTGCGTAAGATGGCATTGGTGTAAACTGTAAGCAACCTAATCAAAGCAAATTTGAGTGTAGTAAGTGTAAAACCATCAAATGAATTATTCATGATCGTGAAACAGAGCGGAAACTTTTCGTTTGGTAGCCATCTCAGAGGCAATGAGTAATATAGGGGTACATATAATTTTATTTAAGGGTTCTGTTCTAATGAACTCGATCTGAACAAGGCTAATTTGATGAAAATTTAAGTCAAATCTTTGCAAAACAAATTAAAACATTAAAAAATCTTTATTAACTTAATTATCTAAGTGTGATAAAATATAATGGCATAGTTTATATCTATAATATAAAAAGGCATGTAATTAAACGAACTTTATTTTTTCGATTTTTAACTAGTCAATTCATTAAATGCACTTATAATTAATGTTTGCACTTAAAAATACAGAACTGAACTTAAAAATAAATATTTGCACTTTGAAAAATGAATTCCACTTGAATAAAATGCTTTCCACTATGAAATTAATACTTTGCACTTATAAAACTTGCAGTATTAAGTACGTGCCGTACTCTTAGCCGGCCCCTTCTATCCCCCCCACCGCCCCACAAATAATACCAAACAAGGTAGCTTACCTTACCACCACCCCCCAACTCCCCGACCACCCCCTCACCCCTACCCCCGACCGCCCCACAAATAATACCAAACAAGGTAGCCTACCTAACCACCACCCCCAACCCCCCGACCGCCCCACAAATAATACCAAACAAGGTACCCTACCTAACCACCACAAATTATAAAGTTTCAATTTAAAAAGTTGATTCAAAGCAAATTTAAGCTTAAACCTGAATATATAAGTGCATTGTATTAAAATATAAGTTATACAATCTATAGTGCATAATATGAATTTCTTAGTGCAAAGTATGAAAACTTAAGTGCGGGTGTTCAAGTGGATTGTATTTTAACTAAAGTGCATTTAATATATCCCCATATAAAAATGAATCGCAAAATCTGTTGGTAGGCGAATAGCTCAACAACGCCTAGACCAATTAGGCCAATTCTTTTTTTAAAATGTTCGTTTAAGTCCAAGGATGGTTTTTACAGAAAAATTTAAATAATTGCCGGGAAAACCCTAAGGACAGCCCTTTTCTATAGGATAAAAGTAGGCATTGAAAATCAGTCATAGTTATAGTTAAATAATTGAATTCGAGATGGCGCGCTGAAGTGCTGGTTTATTAGCACTTATTTATATAATTAATTTCTTTAAAATAAAATTGCGAATCTTATTGATAGAATTAACACATACTATGTCTAGAATAGACGAAGTCGCGGGCAAAATCTAGTATGTGATAAATACTAATTGATGAATAATATTTTGTTCTCTATTTATCTTTAGATACAAAAAATATCTGTTTTGCTATTTATAATGCAAAAAGCAATTTACCGATTTTTATGATTAAAATAAACGAATAAAATAAATTGCATTTTAAGGTTATTTAAAAAATTTTTATTTGAAAATTTTGTATATGTCAATAAAACAACATAATGCGGGTAAATAAATAACTTATGATTGAATGATTGAATGATCATATCTCAGGCGCAAGCTTTGCTAATAGCACACATGAACGAAATGGAGCGCAATGAAAGCGTTCACATGAGCAAATTTTAGAACATAATTCGAAACTGGCCACAACCACATGCCACACAACACCGACACAAAACAACTGGTTGGTTGTTGGCATCACGCATCGTTTGAATGTTTATTCGCGAAATTACGAGCGAAATTTATTAGCAGTGAATTTAAACATGTCAGATGGCGCTATTTTAAACTTAACCTAACCTCTACACAAATATAAATATGTTCTCTTTTTTTTTTTTAATTTTATTTACTTACTAGTAAATCTGCAATGGCCAAATGCATCAATGTTGTGTTGATACGTGATGGTGTTTTGCGTCTTCGGCGAAGAATAAGCACTAGCACAGTGAGATTACCAATGGCAGAGAAGACCATAAGAACACTGTAGACAACGATGGAAAGCATATGACCGTCGTTGAAGCGCATGTCAATGGGTAGTTGATGCAACGTGCCGTTGAATAGGTCTTCGCCAGGTGGCACTGGTGACCAGTCAAGTAAATTACGATGATCTTCAACATCTTCGTTGGTTTTTATCGTGGCCATTTTGTTTGTTAATGGTTATAAGAGTAGATCGTTGAGGTATTATGTGAGGAATTTCATTGTCGATTGTTTAGTAGATCTGAAAAACAAATTGAAAATTATTTAATATTGTATTGAACAGTTATTTATTATATGGGTGTATAAATTGTGCCTATTAGAAAATCACCACCAAGCTTTGCATCATTTATATATAAAATTGTGTATTTTTATAAGGTTTTGTAGTTGCTCTTTTATAGGAGATACGTGATTTAAAAGCACCTTGCGAAGCTACACTAGTGCAACTTGAAAATCGTTTATTTTGCGTTGCATTTACAAAACGTTAGCATTTTTTGCAAACACGAGCAATACGATATTATATTCAATCCTGAAAATAACATGATTCCGCTTTTCATATAAATTGTTTTTAAATAAAAATATATAACAATAATAATAATAACAACTAAAAAAGTATTTGTTACACAGTACCGCTCCAATGTAGACCTAAATTAATTTAAAAATACAAATATTCTGTTTTACAAGTTGTCATCAGATTTCAAAAGTTTTAAGCGGCTTTTGTGAAAGCAACTTTGCGGTTTGTGCCGACAAAAGGGAAAACATATTAAACTTACACGAAGCACAGATAATATGAATTTATAAATTATTTTTAAATTAGTTGCAATAGTTAATAATAAGTCTTTGTTCAAAAAAATTACAGTATTCACAAATATTTATTAGACATAGAGATCGAAAATACTATAATGTTATGTATTTTATTAGTTCATTGTGTTAATAACTCAAATAAAACAGAAAAAAGGCTTAACAACAAAAACTGTGAGTAGAACTCGATTGCACAGTTACTTGCTGTTTATATGAAACCCAGCTGTCATTTACTGCGAATATAATTGGAAACGTGCCAAAAGTATTATTTTGTTACTTTTCATCGCACCGTTTAGTGGGTAAATAAACAATGCGTGAATTAAATTTTATATCACGTTTGTGTAAATAAATATTTATTAATACAAAAACAATACGAAAAAATATAAATATGATGCAATCAAATTCACTTCCTAGTGTATTGAGTCTGTGATGTTATATGTTAGATGCACTGCCAGGATGCCTGCCTCTCGGTGCTATAATTCGGATTGAATAATATCCGTTGCCTGCGCAACAACTGTGGCAACTGCCACAACTGGGTACCCGGCATACACCGAGCAAAGATCCGTGAAATATGTGCTCAGGGATTTGCTCGCCGCAAAGTGAAGCTATCACTTCGTGCACACGAATAATAAACACAAATGCACAATATATATAATAATCCATAGTGAGAAGCTTGCTGGATATTTGCATCCGGCTGGTTTTGATACATTCTGTGCAAAGCCACAATTGTGCAAACTTAGAATGTCACTCAACATCAAATCCTCTCATTTCTCATCAGAGAATCATTTACTTTGGGAGAAATAATGTTTTATATACTACTTTAAAATAGAACTAACTAAATAATATTTTTATACTGCAAATTATTCTAATTATACGGCAAATGTAATGCAAATGCAATGCAAATGTCAGTTTGTTTGTTTATTTGTTACGCTTACACGCATAATCCACTCAATCAATTTTGATAAATTTTGGTATAGGGATATAGATGACCTAGGAAACGCAAATAGATTAATTTTTGTTGCAAAAATATAACCTAAACAGTGCAATATAAGGGATGGAAATTGATATACAGATTCCATCATAGTTATAGTTATATAATAAGAATCTAGATGACGCTATAGTGCATTGTTGACATTTTTTATTTTTGTAAATTAAAATTAAAAATTTGATTGCAAGAATCGGCCAAGGTGCCCATATACCAAAAATAACAAAATTATTTTTAGGTAAACTACTACTTTTTTTAAATAATAAAAAAAAATGAATGGCAAAATCTGTTGGTAAGCGCATAACTCAACAACGCCGGGACCAATTCGGCCAATTCTTTTTTTAAATGTTTTTACGTAAAAAAATTGGAATAATTACCGGGAAAACCCTAAATACAGCCATTTTCTATAGGATATAAGTTGGCATTGAGATTCAATTATAGTTAGAGTTAAATAGTTGAATCCAAGATGAATCCAAGATGGCAAGATTTATAATTAATTTCTTTAAAATAAAATTTCGAATCTTATTGATTGAATTGACACATAGGTACTATGCTTAGAACAAGAGAGTAAAGACAAATTACATTTTTATTAAACACTACCGGGACGAAGCCGCGGGCAAAAGCTAGTTTAAAATAATTATTTTAATCGTTATATTTTAAACATTAAACTATTGAGCTTATGAAATGTAAATGTTATTCTATATTTTTAATAAACCATTACATTTCATAGAAAATTCGACTCGTTTTTAATTAAATTAAAAATAATGTGTAATTAATAAATTTTGCCTTAGTAAAATATATAGTAAAATATCTAGATCGACAGATAAAGTAAAGTACAATGTGCACAATGTACATAATATGTATTCGCAATTTAGCACAGCCAATTTGCAATTAAATAGTTGTTAATTCGCAGGTCCAATTCCAACAAGTCGGCGTGTGTCTGATTTCCAAATTCATCGGATTCATAGCTATAGAACTTCCTACTTTGTATTCCCTCCAATACGTATTTCGTGTATGCGATTCGTAAATCCATAGATTGTGTGTGCATTGTGTCCGCCATTTTCTAATTTGCACACGTGTTCAGTCAGATGCAAGGAATAACTTGCTTTAGACCAGTTCGCCTAGTTTCACATGGTTCACTAGTTCACATTTACATTTACAATTTTATAATGAACGGCCATTAGCCTTTTGTTCACCTTTGAGGACATTACTGCCTCTTCATAATGCGAAATAATTACAGAGTGTTCTAATCAAATTCAATTTTTTTTTTAATTTTATGTTTTTCGGATATACTTTGTATATTATATTCATTTACATATGTCTTCTAGTGTTTTTGACATGTACAAGTTATTTTTTGCTTAATTTATCTTATCATTCAGAAAATATTCTTAAGATTTAACATTTTGACTTAATATTAATAGAATTATAAAATAAACCTCCTTTAGAATTAGTGAATGCCTTGCTTGATTCGAATAAAGATGAAAGAGAAAAACAAACATGATGAAGATGAACAAAACGAACAATACAACGCCTAAGAGACGGATGGATTGCCTCTAAGGACGCCATCATGTGAATGTGAGCGAGAGTGAGTGCCGTCTGTCGAAAACCAAGCGCGGCACTGCAAACGACCTCCAAGGACGTTTCTTGCGTGTCAAGTTTCGTGTGTGTGCGCATGAGATATGAGGCATGTAAGTAGAAATAGAGAGAAGTGGAGGGGGCGCGCTAGTGAAAGGACGAAATGCATGGTTGCATCGTGCGGCGTTGCATGGCCGACACGGTTGACGTGCCCGTCGTTTATCATCCCGCGCGCGGGCCTCAGCCGAAAACCTAACCGAACAGGAAGTCGAACGAACCAGTATGAGCACGACACGCAAAACAGAAAAGCAAAAAACACACAAGTCGAAAACCTAAAATCGAAAACAGAATCCTTGCAAGCGTAACGGTCAGCATGTCCTGCAGTGCATTGTGGGACTTCCTGTTTAGAGATGAACAATAAAACAACATTCAGTGAGTCAAAAATGAAAAAAAAAAAACGTTTTTATGCATTAATTAATTTTTTTCTTGTTGACGAAGTATTGAAAGAAAGAAGTTTTGAATTAAACATCTGAATTTCAATTTGCGAGCTTGTAATTCCGAATGCAAAGGTGAAATACCCGGCAAAGTAAGATGTTGTAATATGATTTGGAATTTTGATGATTACATGCATAGCAAATTCGTTCTTATCGCACCTGGAGCGCATATCAATTGGGTTATGTTAGCAAATAATCTGATTAAAATGTATACCAGTCAATCGCGCACAAAATATTACTCCTCGGAAGTTTAGCTCAAGCAATAAATTGATAACGCTGCTAAGTTAATGCTCTAATTCTATATTAATCCATAAATCTATTCGAACTATAACTATAAGTAACACCTGGCGACCCAGTGCTCTCAGGCTGTTTGCGAGACGCACGTTTCGGTGTAGGAAAGCATTCTAATCGGTTTCTAGACTCGCATTAGCGCGCCGTCGCGCCGCGAGCAAGCAAAATGCAGTCGATAATCGATTAATCGAATTACTGAATTACTCCTTCCGTTTCCTATCAACGCTTGTAGCAATCGAGGGAGACAAGAAGTGCAGAGGAAATTGCAGAAGATGCGCACGTCCGCTAATTAATTAATTCTTGACTTTAACATTTACCATTAGCATTTTAAAATCCACTAATTAATTTTATTTCAAAGGACTGGAAAATTCTAATAATATACTTTTGCGTTATATTGGATTTGATTATATCGCTATGATTATATTATAATTCAATATCTATACTAATTTTTATACCTATTTAAACCCTTTTTAAGTAATAATTTTTCAATATTTTAATAATTATTCTGCTATTTTGAGTGGGAACAAATCCAACAAATTATAGATCAACAAAATTTGTCCTGTCGATCTTGAGATATTAATGTTGTAACAAAGACGACTTTGCTTAATATTTGTAAATTTTACTTCTATTTAATCATTCAGTTATATTTTTTTTTAATAAAAAGTAGTTTTTTGCTTATCCATAATATCAAAATGAATCGCAAAATATGTTGGTAAACGCATAACTCAACAACGCCAAAACCAATTTGGCCAATTATTTTTTTTAATGTTCGTTAAAGTCCATGGATGGTTTTTACGGCGAGAAAAATTCGAATAATTGCCGGGAAAACCCTAAAGACAGCCCTTTTATATAGGATAAAAGTTGGCATTGAGATTCAATCATACTTATAGTTAAATAGTTGAATCCGAGATGGCGCGCTGAAGTGCATTACGAGTATTAGCAACTAGTTTTAACCCACGGCTTCGCTCGCGAATATCTAAAATAATGAAGTTGCTTCCGTACGCGTCTGTAGTCACAGAAGAAGTAACAATGAAGTAGAATGGCTGAAAGTATAGTCTATGGAAGTATAGTGTACAGTCTCCATAGTGTAGGCAATTG